CGGGCTCCCTGCTCAGCGGGAAGCCTGCTTCTCCCTCTCCCACTCCCCCTGCTTGTGTTCCCTCTCTCTCTGTGTCTCTCTCTGTCAAATAAAATATTTAAAAAAAATAAATAAATAAAACTGTAGACTATAGAGAGTATAAAATGAAGAAAATGAAACTTTCACCCATAATTTTCTCTCCTGGAGATAGCCACTCTGAACATTTTGATATAATTCCTCCTCCCAGGCTTTGCAAGTATGAGATCATACCACATAGACTTTTGCAGCCCATTGTCTTCATTTAATGATACATTCTGGGCATTTTCTTCTGCCGTAAGATAGTCTTCTACACCATCCTACATTGTGTGTATGTCCATTGTATGCGTGCCCCACTCTTTGGTGGGCACCCTCACCAACATCCTTTAAGATAACTACTATGTTTATAATTATTTCCTCAGGCTCAGTCCCAAGAAACGGAATTTCTGTGTGAAAACACATTTTTAAGGCAAAGATACAATTTTAAGGTAACCATGGTAGCACACTCTTCTACGCAAACTGATCCAATGTTGGAATATCCTGGGAGAAATGTCAGAGTTTTATGAAACTGATGACCGTCACCACCATCCTTCTCTTTATTGTGATCATGAACTTTGTTTCCCACTTGCAACGAGTATAGATTTTCAGCCACACATCATCTCAGGTTGTCGAACGGCACACTGTAACAGTAATAATGGTAGTTACAGCTAACACTTTACTCCATTAAATCTTTGTAGCTACTGCGTAGGTGACATTATCCCCATTTTACAGGTGATGTAACTAAACCACAAAGAGATGTAACTTGTCCAAAGTCACCCAGTAGAGCCAGAATGCACACCCAGGCGGTCTGGCTCTAGGAACGACCATCTCCAACACAGTACAGATCCTCCTTTTGCTATAAACATCAGCATCTCCATAGTTAACAATTTTTGAGCACCTACCACGTTCCAGGCACTGTCTGGTGCTTTGCATAGATTATGTATGCAAATATATAATCCGCCAGTGAGATGAGACACGGAGCTGACTTGGTGACAGGCCCTCCAGTGAGTGGTGTGCCCAGCACCGCACTCAAGTCTCCGCTTCTACAGTGCCTGGCCTCCCCCTGCGTGTGGACCCCTCCTCCCAGCCAACAAAACCCGCTCCTCCGCCTGTTGGGGGTGGGGAGGGATCAGGCTCCCTGGCCATGCCTTTTCTCCTTTCTTTTGTTTTCTGTCATTTTACTTGCTTCAGGTCTGCGTACACGTCGTCTTCTTATGACACCCCCCTGACCACCCTGTCTCAGAGAACAGCCCTCATCCCCTCCCAGGCACTTCTTATCTCCCTTGCCGGTTGACTTCTTCCTTCCCTCTACAACACCCGACATACCACACCTGCTGCTTACTTGCCTTCGCCCAGGTAGACCGGGGGGAGCTCTGCGCCGGTGGGGACGCTGGCCCGCTTCCCTCCCTCCGGGGGCCCGGCGCCCACAGTAGTCCTCGGCGCGCGGTAGGTGGGCGGCTACTAGTTCTAGGTGCAGGAGGGGGTCTTCTGAGAATCTGACGTTTGAAAAACTCAAGAGCTGCCTGAAGAGGAAGAGACAGAGTAGCGTTGTCCTCCGTTGGCCCGGAGAAGCGGAGAGCGGTGCCGCTTTGAAAAGGAATGTTCGCTTGCCTTTCCGACCCCTCACCGTTTTGTCCCCAAGGTGTCAGAAAACCTCGTGCAGCGGGATGGCGACTTCCTGGTTCGTGACTCTCTGTCCAGCCCCGGGAACTTCGTCCTGACCTGTCAGTGGAAGAACCTGGCTCAGCACTTCAAGATCCACCGGACGGTGCTGCGGCTCAGCGAGGCCTACAGCCGTGTGCAGTACCAGTTTGAGACGGAGAGCTTCGACTCCATCCCCGGCCTGGTGCGCTGCTACGTGGGCAACCGCCGGCCCGTCTCCCAGCAGAGCGGCGCCATCATCTTCCAGCCCATCAACAGGACGGTGCCCCTGCGCTGCCTGCAGGAGCGCTACGGCACCTCCCCGGGCCGGGCCCCGGACGGCAGCCTGGCCGACGGCAGGCCGGACGTGGGCAAGAGGCTGAGCCTCACCGTGGGCGGCGTCCAGGCCCGGGAGCAGAGCTCGCCCAAGGGAAACCTCCTCAGGTGGGTCAGGGCCCCGTCGGGGGTGCGGGTGCTGGGGCCGACGGGGCCGCTCTGGACGGGCCCGGCCTTAGTGAGGCAGATGAGGGGCTCACCGGGGAACCGAGGAACAGTAGGTGTTGCTGAGAATGCCAAGTGTTACTGGAATAGCTGTCATGAGGGATGAGTTCCCGATTGAGTTGGTGCCCACGTGAAATGAGGCAGCTGCTGAGGAAGGGGAGGGTTGGCCAGGGGAGATTTGTGCAGAAAGGAGGATCCCGGCTGGTCTGAAGCCTAGGGGAAATTTGGACAGACCCTGCAGAGGGGAGGGCGTTCCAGGTGGGGGCTCAGCGTGAGCATGCGTGGAGCAGTAGGAGAGGATGAGAGTTGCTTCGAGTGGGTAGATCGGTGGGCCTCAAGCAAAGGGCCCACGTAAGGGGCTGGTGGGGGCGGGCTCAGGAAGGTGACCCCAGCCAGATCATGGAGGCCTTAAAGCCGGGCTAAATGGTTTGAGGGCGCCTCAGAGACATGACATGGTGAATGTCCTGAGAATAGAGCAGGGTGGCGATGGGTTGCAGGGGCAGGGAGGGAGCTTGGCGCAGGAAGACCAGTCAATGAGGCTGGAGAGTCAGGCTGTACAGGGGTAGTAGAGGGAGAGCCTGGGACCTTGGCTTCCTGGGACTCTTGTGTGTGTGGGGAAGGTTGGAGAAGGGCCAGTGGGAGACCACAGGAGGGCTCAGAGGGGATGGACTTCAGAGGAAAAACCAGTTGCTGCATCTGCAGGAAACGCGACTGTAGGCTTATCTCTGAGTGCCAGCGTCCAGCAACAGTTTGGGGGTTTGGGAGGGGAGTTCAGCCTGAAGGCTTAGTCCACATGGAAAGGGTGGTTGACTCGGTGAGAGAAGATGGGATTCCTAAGATGGGAGACACTGAGAGACTGGAGGGCTGTGCCCTGAACCTGGGGGTGGGAGAGAGAAGATTCCAGAGAACTGGATGCCCAGCTGAGGCACCCTGCCCTCGATGACCAGTGGCGTGTGCTGTCTTCGCATAGGACCCGTCTCTCATGGAGTTGGGTGTCCGTGCTGCTCTCTGCCCGTTCCAGAAAAGGAGAGCAGGGAAAAGGCGGGCCTGGCAGGGTGTAGATTAGCTCCAGTCCCTGGGTAACACAGGCCCCCTTCTCTGGCTCCCTGGCATCTAAACTTACACACCTAAACCTACATGTTTTATTGCGCTCACTGGTTTTCTTTCTGGACAGGAGGAAATGTCATAAACTGTAATTGGTAGACTGCAAAAATTCAGAAGCAAAACACAGGAGTCTGAGTAATACAAACTAGGCCGTGTGCTGCTACAGAGCTCCCGGTCCCTGTTAGTCAGAGTCTGGCTGTGGACGCTGCCTGCCTGGCCACAGATGCTGGTCCGCCACCGACCAAGCTACTTACCTTCTCTGGGCCTCACTTTCCCCAGCTGGAATGATGGGGTTTGTGAGGGTTAAATGATCGAAGACTTGCAGAGTGCTTAGAACAATGCCAAAGGACTATGTAGGTGTGAATAATCATAATTAATATTATTTTCTGGAGGGCAGTAGAATGTAGGACTCAGTTGCAGGGAGGGAGGCAAGAACTGATACATAGAAATTCTCCTTTTCTTAGTAATAAGAATGGACTGGAGGTCCCTTAAAAATATTAAAGGGGTACTTCTTCCTCTGTTTCTTTTGTGAGTGTGGGGATTGGCTGCTCAACGGAGGAAGAAAAAGGTAATGTCCTGACCAGAGCCAGGGAGTATTGATTGGGCAATGCCCAGAACCCCTGCCCAGTGCGGTGCTGGGCAGGAAGGCCTGCCTCCTGGTCTGCCCTCAGGGACCCGGATTTAGAATAGAAATTTATTTTTTAAAGATAAGATATGAAAGACAGACTGAGAAAGCCTCTCGGTCAATGAGGCAGGCCTAACAGAGCCTGATTGCCCAGTGAAAGCAGAGTTTTTTAAGCCCTGCTACTTTTTGGGCAGCCGCAGGGCAGGGCCGGGAATGTCTAACCGTGGGGGTGGGGTGGGCTCCGCAGGGAAGCGCCTCCTGCTGCCAAGCGCCCTGCCCTCTCCCTCCTCCCCCCCCCCACCTCCCCGCGCCCTCGGGCGCCCGCACCTTTGCTGACGTCCGGCCCGCTGGTTGGCCGGCTGGCGGGGTGCGCCCCAGGTGGGGGTTCTGGGCCAGTGGAGTCTGGCTGCTCTGAAGATCACTGCAGAAATACCGCTTGGCCGAAGCCATTGCCTTTTGGAATTTGCCCTCTGCCCTGCCTTATCTCTGAGGGGTTGCTGGAATTTCTCTGTTGCTGGGCGTTTGGGGTTTTTTTGGGGGGATTTGTTTGCTTTTTCCTTTGGTGCTTGCAAAGGTAGGAAAGAACTTTTCAATTTCTATAACCTAAGCTTGTGGGAGGGCTGATTAAAGTTCATTACAACTTGACTGGTGCGGTGCAGTCTCTTCTAGCAAAGAAGAGATTCTGTTTGTGGGGGCTAGAGAAACTCCCAGTCTGAATAGGCAGGGAAGCAGAGGGGTGCCAGCAAATTGTGTGGAGAGTGACATCTCTCCGCTTCCACGCGGGGGCTGCACCCTGTGCCTCCCAGCGCCCGGCTTAGTGAAGGCCTGGGCACTTCCCCAGCTCAGCAGGAGGCCGGCTGTGCGGCCCTCGTCCTTCCAGGAGGATGAGAGTGGCTGGCTCCCTGGGTGATCCCGCGGATTGTCTGGGGGACATGGTGACTTGCGCTGAAATGCAGACTGCCGCACAGCCTCCTTCCTAACTGACACCACGAGGCATGGTGGAAAACGCATTTTAGTTAAACAAGTCACTGCTCCTGGGTCTGTAAGTAATTTTAAGCTCTGTTAAAAGTACACATTCCAGTTCATCAGATTTTCCTGAGAGGATCATGCAGTCTTTGCTCTGTTCTGCTCAACCGGCTGGAAGGGCTCAGAGGAGGCAGCCTGGGACCTGACTGGGTTGGTCGTGGGGACGCGGGGATGGAGCCCAGAGTACAGTCCTGTGTTAACCGCCCCCAGCAGCAATTTCCTCCTCCAGTGGACATTACTGTTGGGATGTGCTGTACCACTCGCCTTCTAAGCAGTCTTTTCTCTTAAAAACTTTCCATGACGCTGCCTAAAGGTTTTACGATTTAATGACACATTTCTGCTCTACTTATCTTATGCTTCAGAAATAAAGAGAAGAGCGGTAGCCAGCCAGCCTCCCTGGATCACATGCAGGACAGAAGAGCCTTATCCCTCAAAGCGCACCAGTCGGAAAGTTACCTGCCACTTGGTAGGTCTTTGGGACTTTTCTGGGAGGAGGGTGACAGTGTTAGCCTGATTTCCTTCAGGCTGTTTCCCTGCTCTGTCTGGTCCCCTGATGTGGGGACGACACAAGGCTGGAGGGTAAGGGGTTTGTGCAGCTGTATCCAGATGAGGTCATTTTATGGGTGCTAGCTAGCTTTTAAGCCTCATAACAAACCTTCAGAGCGGGAATGATTACCTTCTTCTTGCTGAGGACACTGAGGCACAGAGGTGAAATGACTCATCCAGAGTTACCCGTCCGGCCCACGGTGAAGCCAGCATTTGAACCCAGGTTTTCTGACCCACGCTCACCCGCTAACTGGTAGCCTTCATGACAGAGGCACGCTCTCTCTGTGCCCTCCCTGGGTGGAGGGGGCTGGCTCAGTGCTGGGCTTCCTGGGGGACCCCTCCTCCTCTCCATTCTCCATTCGCAGCCAGAGAACGAGGAGCTGTGGGATGTGGGCGGACCTCGTAAGCAACTGTGTCAGTGAGCCATGGATGGTTGTTCATTATTTTTATAACTGACCTTCCTTGGGACCACAGGGTGATTTTCCTAATGCCCTTTGGTGAACCACTTCTATGTGGGTTAGCTCAGCATCTTGTCCCCCCTTCCTGGAGTGCCTCTGGCTCTCCCTCAAGGCTGGCTGGATCCGCCCTGGCCGTGAGAGTGACTCAGGCCCTCATGCTATGTGACTAAAGACTTCTGTTCCTTAGGGCAAGACTAGATTACTCACTGACCTCCAGGCGCCATGTCTTGTCCTGTTCTGACTGGACTAACCTCCTCTGACCATAAAATGGCACTGCAGCCCGGCTGCTGGAAGTCACTGGGATTTAGAATCCCCCCAGAAGTGGGGTGCAGCCAGCCAGCCCTCAAAATGCTCTGAACTGCGCTAGATTGGGCGTGGGGAGGTCCTACCGAGTTATCTTTGGGAAGTGAAAGTTGAAACCCAAGGGCATGAATGGAGAGCTGAGGAGTTGTCACTCCAGTTTTGCTTTGTGTTCCCCGTGCAGCTGAGCTTTTCCTGACCCTCTCTTTTCCTCCACAGGCTGTAAGTTGCCCCCGCAGTCCCCGGGGGTGGACACAAGCCCCCGCCCAAACTCACCGGTTTTCAGGACGGGCAGTGAGCCCACCCTGAGCCCGGCATTGGTTCGGAGGGTCTCCTCGGACGCTAGGGCAGGGGAGGCCCTGAGGGGCTCAGACAGCCAGCTATGCCCCAAGCCGCCGCCCAAGCCCTGCAAGGCACCCTTCCTCAAGGCTCCCGCGTCTCCATCCACCTGGCTCAACTCAGACGCCAACTACTGTGAACTGAACCCAGCCTTCGCTGCGGGCTGCGACAGGGGGGCAAGGCCCCCCCTCTGTGCCCAGGACAGTTACGTGGAGCTGCTAACGGCCAAGCAGAACGGGGTGCCGGGTCCCCGGAACTCCGGCACCAACTACTTGATCCTCGACGATGACGGGGCAGGGCCTTGGGCGGCGCCGGCCGTGCAGATGGACCAGGGGCCGGAGGAGGATGAGGCCGAGTTTGTGCTGCCCCGTCTGGAGACGGCCTCCTCATTCAGACCCAATGACTTTGAGTCGAAGCTCCTTCCTCCTGAGAACAAGCCCCTGGAAACAGCACTGCTGAAGCGGGCGAAAGAACTGTTCACTCAGCACGACCCCAAGGTCATTGCCCAGCACATGCTGAGCACGGACTGCGTGGTAAGTGGCCAGGCAGGTGGGTTTTGTTGTGGCTTCGGAACGTTTGGAAGGAGTTGGCAGGCTGGCCTCGCTCCACCTCACCCTTGAAATGCGTGGCTCGGAGAAAAAGTCAGAAGATAACCTGGGCGGGGATGTATTTAAAGGGTGGGAAGCACAGGCCTGGGACAACCTTTGCCCGGGCTCGAAGCTTGTAGAACTCCCCTCGGGCAGAGGGATGGCAGGCCTCTCCCGCCAGCTGCAGGGTCCTCCCTGGCCTCAGCTCCGTCAGAACTGGGAAAGCCAAGTCCAAGGAAAGAGGACTGTAGATGAAAATGTACCTTCTGGCGTCACAGAGCCCAGGTTATTTTTACTGTATTATACATGATGCATTATATATACGTATACACACTCAACACATATTTATTGTTACTAAAATGGACTTAAGAATAGACATTTTTAAATTTACCCTTGATTTTTTGCACAAGTAATACTTGGTCAATTTAGAAAAATTATAAAATACAGTTTAAGAGAAAAGAAAAAAATTATACAAAGTGTACTTTCCTGATGATCACCGTGGTTAACATTTGCTCTGCAAACAGATACATGTAAATAATTTCATGCGCATGGATGTGTTTACCAGAGGCCTAAACAGATGATTCTGTTTTATTGTATTTTTTTCTAAACATACTCTTTTAAACCCAGTGTCTTTGACCAAACAACATAGCATGACTATCATTTCGTGTGACTGAATATATGTTTACATCATCAATTTTGATAGGAAGCATTTCTTTTAGATATGGGCAGCTTTTGTTCATAAGTGACCCCATGGCAAGGTTATCCTTCAGACAGATCTTTCTAGAAAGCAAGTGTCTCAGGCTGGGAGGGGCTCAACCTACCTCTCAGTTATAGATAGATCTGTGCTTTGGAGTGACAGGTAAGGCCTTAGTGAGATTTAAACCCCTTATTCATTTGTAGCTCATTAGTCAATAACCTTCAAAGTTCAGGGCCTGTCTAGGAACTGAATTTTCCTAAATAAATTTCCTGGGTCATGACTCACGGCAGGAAATGTAGTCTCTGAGCACCCCCTGGGAAGTCCCTAGTTGATGGACCTCTTAGGGGGACAGAAGGCCTCTCAAAACAGCCTTGAGGAACTTGAAGCAGGTGCTAGCTGTTCTGAGCTCCACAAACCCAGCACCTGGAAGAGGCCTGGGTGATGGTCCCCATGTGTGTGTGTTGGAGGGGCGGGAGGCGGGGGGCTCGCCCTGGGGAAAGAACCAGGAGAGGGGCAGTGCTGAAGAACAAGGGTTTGTTCACGTTGGTGGGCTAGGTGTCCTTGGGCAGGGCTCACAGGTCATATTAAGTGCTTACCTCACGTGAAAGCGGGCTAAACCCGTTTGGGCAGTAAGAGGATTTAAGATTCCTGTTCTGGTTCCTGGCCTGGGCCCTGGTACGCCAACAGGCCAGGAGTCTGGTGTGAGTCCGCCTGAGTTCTCCAGAGAGAGGAAGCTCCTCGTAGAAACGTGGATCGGGATTGACAGAACAGCCTAATTCCCAGGAGGAAATGAATCCTTCTTCCCTGTGTCTTCAGTGCTTGGAGGATCTAGGAGGGTCTAGGCGGAGGTGAAATGCCTGACTACCCTTTGGCAGGAGGGTCTAGAACGTTCCCACCACCTTGGCAGCCATGAATCTAGAGCTCAAATCTGTTCTCGACTGAAGGAACATGAAGCCTGCCCTTTTTCTTGTTTGGTTTCTTTCTTTGCATTTTGTCCTCCTGGTCGGGCCCATCTCCCCTGTTTGCCTTTATTTTTATTTTTTGGGGTTTTTTTTAAAGATTTTATTTGTTTATTTGACAGAGAGAGACAGCGAGAGAGGGAACACAAGCAGGGGGAGTGGGAGAGGGAGAAGCAGGCTTCCCGCTGAGCAGGGAGCCCAACGTGGGGCTCGATCCCAGGACCCTGGGATCCTGACCTGAGCCAAAGGCAGACGCTTAATGACTGAGCCACCCAGGTGCCCCCCTGTTTGCCTTTAGGCACCCCTGGAAGAAGGGGTGAATAGAGCCCCCTGGCAGCGAGGAGGAGACCCAGAGCAGAAGTCCACCTGACTCTGCTCACCTTCAGTCTCCAAGGGCAGGGCTGTTTCTAGTCTTCCTCCCTCCCTCCTGAGTCCACTGCCATTTCCTTATTCTCTTCCTGGAACCACTGACTTTAGGGCTTTGCCAACAATGCAGGCAGTCAGCGTCTCTGAGGGAGATAGACAGGCTGTTGTTACCCACTCCACATGCAGTGACCACCAGGACAGGGCCACTCAGAAGCTGCGAAGAGACACTGGACAGCATTTAGGGCCCAAGTGCTGGTTCCCACCCCGTGCAGAGCCCGGGGCTGACGCCCAGGAAGTCCGTCATGACAGTGGGTGGTCCTGAGTGCCTCAAGGCTGCCCATCCTGCAGTGTCCGGCCCCTCCTGGGCATGGCTGGGGTGGGCATCCACTGAGCCCCTCTCACCCTGCAAGTGGGCACCGCCCTGGCCTCACCCAGAGTGCAGCCTGTCTCCCACCCACTTGTTGCGGTATCTAGAAGTGGGGTCCGGTAGGTAAGAGTTGGCCTCTGGGGATGACCTCGCTGAGTCTAACTCAGGCTCTCAACTTTCTGGTTCTTTCTGCCCGCACTATAAAAGGAAGAGAACCATACCAGCTGCACAGGTGGTTGTGAGGACTAAGACCAAACGAAATAACTTATGTAGAGCCCTCCACACACCATGCCTGGCCCAGAATGAGGCTAGGTGTTAGCCTCGGGTATCGAGCCTTGCTTGAGCACCTACTGTGGGCTGGGCTGGGCCGGGCCGTGGTGGGGGACGTGGGGGGTGACAGTGATACAGGACTTCAGACCACAGCCCAGGTGGGACATGCTCCTCAGGGGAAGGCACAGGAGCTGTGGGGCCTCTGAAGCAGGGTCTTGAACATGGGGGGAGGAGGGGGGATCAGGGAGGGGATGTCTGAGATGAGTTTTAAAGGCTGAATAGGATTTGACCAGACGAAGAATACGAAAACCCCGGTCTTCTGGGTGGCAAGCAGCAGGTGCGCAGAGACTCTGCTGTCAAGGGTTTGGTTTCCGGAGGCCTCGCTGTGTGGGCAGTGAAGGTGGGGGTGGGGTGGGGGAGGGGAGGGACTCACAGGTCTTTCCTTGGATGCTAAGTCTCTCCTCCTGGGCTCATGCCAGGTTGTTGCTTCAAAGCACTTTGCAGGTCAGTGAGGGAGACAGGCCCTTAAGTGCATAGGGCCGATCAGAGTCCTGTGCTGAGGGCAGCAGAGATGGTGGGCCGAGTCAGGCAGTCTCTCTGCAGTTCAGAAGATCCCTTGGCAGCTGGGAGGAGGGCCAGGCCCCGCCGACACCCCCACAAACCACTGCAGCAGCTCCCTTGGGCAGTTTGGCGATCCTGCAGAGCGAGGGTACCTGAGATCAGAAGAGCAGAGGGGGGCTGGAATGCCTCGTCGGGGAGCGCTGATGTTGCGTGCCGGGTCCGTCTGATAGTAAATGCTCCAGAAGTGTCCATCCCTCCTCTCTATCTCTGATCTGCATGGCTCTGGGCGTTTTCCCAGAGGCTCAAATCCAGGTTCTGCAGCATGAGCTCAGAATCCCCTTGTCCTAGCTCAGCTTTGGGGCAAGCAGGTGTCGGCATATCCTGGCAAACCTCCAGGAATGTGACCAGGGGGTTGTGTGTTTGCACTGAAGGAACGCTGACTTGGAGGCTTCTCTCTCAGAGCAGGGATCACTCTGGTTACTAGTGCTTCCGGTACAAAACTGGATCCGTGTAATGAGCCTTTGAATCTCATTACACAGATGGTGTGTGAATTGGAGGGTGCCCACCACCCAGAGGCTGGGCTTGGAGCCCCTGATGGGGCAGCTGTCTAAACAAGCAAGCAGAGTGTGTGTGACCGCAGGTGGCTGGGGTATCCATCTGGGCTGCCTGACCACGGTCAAGGTGTAAATCCCTTTCCAGAGGGAAATTCTTCCCTGTTGTACGTGCCAGTGGTTCACAACTCGTATTTTCAAATAGCTTTAAAGTCATTTGATCCTTTGCAAAGTCCTTGGGAAAGGCGAACTTAGCAGCTGAGTTAGAGAAGGGGATGCTGAGGCCCAGAGAGCATAGTAGGAATCCTGCACTCTGCTTCCCAGTCTGCCCCTGGATAGCCAGTTCCCTCAGGTCCATTTCCTCAGGGCTGACAGTGGTTCCTTTGCTCAACCACAGAGGTTAAGGGTCAGCGTTAATAATATCAGCCAAACTTCAGATGTTTTTTGTGGCCTGTTATTGAAGACATCTGGACGGTTGCGACGCCTGGGATCATGATAGTCGAGGACAGCTCCGGCAGATGGAGGAGAGGAATCGTCCCGTGCCGGCCCCGCGTCCAGGCTCCGTTAGACGCACCGTTAGACGTCAGTGTGCTGCAGAGCGTCATGAGCCTGGTGCTCGAGAGGCAGTGAGTCGGCTGTAACATTTCGAGGCAGCGTGTATTGAATACAAATGGTCGGCTAAGACCTGGTGCCGATGGCCTGTGATTACACACTAGAAGCAAGACGGGAGAGCTGGCTGGGACAAACAAAGATTTTCTTTAAGGAAGGCCTCCTGGGGGAGAAGTGGGTGTGCTTGAGACCTCGGGTGTCAAATCGCTCTACATGTTTCTAAAGGTTTCCAGACGTACGGTGCCTTGACCGAGCCCAGGAGAGGGGTAGTTAAGGGTCTTGGCAGCCTGCCCCGCCATCAAGTGAGAACACGACCGGCAGGGCTGGCAGCAGAGGCGCGGGCGCTCGGCCCGCAGTCGCTGTCCCGGCCCGCGGTGGCCAGGAGCTGGGAGGGCGACGCCGTTCTCCGGCCGGCCAGAAACTCCGGATCTGCGGATTCTGCGGGCCGTGCTAGGTGCTCTCCTCCCCGGTCTTAGATTCCAGGGGTGTCCTAGAATCCTTGAGATCTCCTCTAAAACACTGGGGGGGGGATGCTGCTGCCCCAAACGAAGCGCGGCCGGTGCACCCACACCACCCCAGTTCCGTGTGTTTCGTCCCACGGGCTGCGGTCGTGTTCACGGCGAGCCCACTTCCCGATCCAGTCTGGTTCAGCTTGTGTTCCCCACAGGTCGTGAGGATACTTGAAGTGTCGGAAGAGATGAGGAAGAGCATGGGCGTGAGCTCAGGGCTGGAGCTCGTCACCTTGCCTTATGGCCACCAGCTGCGCCTGGACATAATTGAAAGGTGAGCAGTGCCGCCCCCTGCGTTTCGGGCCCGTCGCGCAGCAGCTTCCGGAACAGACCGACCCGGCCCGAGCCCTTCCCTTCTCCCGGAAGCCTTAGCCACAGAATTCCTGGGGAGGCACAAATAGATAGCACCGAGGAAGTCCAGGCACAAAGAACACACTCCTGTCCCTGCTCCAGGAGGGAGTGGAGGACAGAAGAGGCTGCTGGCCGGCGCTAGCCCAAGTCACCCCTGCGCCGGCCTGGGCCCGGGCGGGGCGGACACCTCGCCACCTGCAGCCCCACCTCCCCGAGCGGCCGCTGCTCTGTCTCTCCGGAGTTCAGGATCGCACTAGGAGTAAGTGGGAGTTCGTGGGAAGGGTTGGGAAGAACAGAGTCTGAACAGTGTTTGCTTTGAGAGGCGGGCAGGGGACGGCGGCGCTCAGGCCCCCCCGCCTCTGCGGCGTCCCTGCCCCCTTCTCCCAGTCTCCCGAAAAAGCCCGCGGAAACCCACATGCCGGAGTGCTGGAGGCCTAGAAATTAAAAAGACAGAAATAGCGAGGCATGTTTTTAAAAGAAGTGCTAGACGAGATGCCCATATCGCCGCGGACGTTGGACTTGACACACGTGAAAAGACCGTAGATTTGGGGCAAGACTGTCTTGTTATCTTAAGTATCCTGTTTTTTTCCAGCCAATTTCCTAATTGTCATAACACAAACATGGGTTGTAATGGACACACGGACATTCTAGGTCATTAGTGCTGTCCAGGCCATCCTTCTGTGGCGGCTGAAATGTTTTTAGCTCATGACGGTAGCCACTAACCACAGGGGACTATCAAGAGCCTGGAATGTGGCACTGGAGGGACACACTGTTGTATTTTACTGTTTAAATAGCCGTATGTGGCTGGTGGACAGCACAGTCCTAGGAGGTCAGCCCCTAGAAAGTAAACGGTGCATTTCAGGGAGCCTGGGGGATCCGCTGCTTTCGAGGTTCCCTGGCCAGAAAGCAGATGAGCTGGCCCCCATACCGCCGTGACTCTGGTTCCCAGCCACGGAGAGAAAACACCCGGAATGCCGAAAGAAGGGCTTCTGGGAGGCAGGAGGTTAGAAAATGGTCCTTGGCTTTGTTCAAGCATCCTTATTGTTTAATGCCTTTGGAGAATTGTGTGAATTTTCCTCCTTTTCCTACAGGCTTTCTAGCCTCTCTCTGCAGGCACCCTCTCCCCTCCCCAAGCCCCAGGGGCCTGCTTCGCCGCTCCACTAGCTTTGCCCTCTGTTGTTGCTGGGCCATGGTCACTGTTTCATTCCTCACGCGAGGCATGTCGGCGCAAATCCCCCAGGTTCCAGGCCTTACTTTATCCCTGTCGTTGGGTATGTTGGACGTGCACTCAGGCCCAGGCGGAGGTCGGCCAGCTGGGGGCTCCTCAGGGCTGTTTTCCGACTTCCTCGCCTGTCTACATCTGTTTCCTCTTTCTCCTGATCGCCACTTCCCTGGGGCCTCTCTCCTTGCTGTGCTTCCTGGCCGGGGCCGACCTGGGGGACCTGCCTGCTAGAGCCTGGGGAGCGGGTTTCTTCCTTCCAGCTTGTGTACTAAATAAAGGCCAAGGTGATAGCCATTTCGAAGGGTCAGATGACATCATCTTCTTGTGTTTGAGAATCAGATACAGACCACCCTTTATTTTTATTTTTTTATTTTTTATAAAGATTTTATTTTTATTTTTTGACAGAGAGAGAGAGACAGCGAGAGAGGGAACACAAGCAGGGGGAGTGGGAGAGGGAGAAGCAGGCTTCCCGCCGAGCAAGGAGCCCGATGTGGGGCTCGATCCCAGGACCCTGGGATCATGACCTGGGCCAAAGGCAGACGCTTAACGACTGAGCCACCCAGGCGCCCCCACCCTTTATTTTTAACTTACCACCTCACCCATGCCAGGCCTGCTGAGTGGAGATGTCCTTTCTGTAACATTCAGTGCCTCTTCTTGCCTCAGACCTGCCATGCTGAGTAGTTTTTCCTGTAGTGCTGTACGCGGGAGGTTTTAGGCACAGGGCGGTTGAATGAATGGATAGAATTACTCCGTTAACCATTGACATGATGCCAGAGAAGTAGAGAACCTGTCTTTTATTAAGGGCCGTTTAAAACACAGGAAAAAAGCAGTGAACAGAAGAATCAATTGATAGCAACACGGGAAGCCAGTTTACTGTCAGTTAAAAGAAACATCGGAAATGCTCAGCTCAACCTTAACACTTAGTGTTAAGCAATTAATTAGCAAGAAATTAATAAGCAAGAAAACTCTTCAATAAATTCAGCAGGCAATAAAAATATGCTTTGTTAGAATCCATTAATGAAGACCTCAGGAAGAAGAGAGAAAAAAGGTAGATAGAGACAGACTGACAGAACGGACCAGGATGCAGAGGAAGTTGTGCACAGAGACAACTGTGGTCACAACCACCATTTGCTAGGGGCCTGTCGGCAACGGGCACTCTAGTGATTCTGACACCCCCACACCCTCTCTCTCACAACAACCCTTGCTCCCGTTTTTACAGTGAAGATATGGAGGAGTGGAGCAGTTAGGTGACAACCTGTGCTCACACCGCAAGGAAGCACCACACACACACACACACACTCACACACTCGGAGACAGCTGAGCTCATCACGGATTTCATAATCGCTAGAGAAAGCGGTGGGCTAGCCACTTGATGAATCATACCACCGTGGGCCTCTGTGGGCAGAGAGGAGTGCGCCCTGGAGTGACATCCTTGGCTGTGAACTTTGAGAACAAGATGCCCCAGAGTGTCAAAGCCATGTTGTATTTTGGTAACCATATCTGTGGATGGGGGCTTCGCCTCCAGCACTGGTACCACGGCCTGAGGGAAACTTCATGGGGGCCATTGTGGCCCAATGCAGTCAATTCACTTGTCCCGACAGAGAGAGAGAGAAGGAAAGGATCGTGGTCTGTGCCGCCTGCCGTTAGTGGAGACTGCTCTGCGACCCCGTTCATATTAGTCCCCTTGTCATGTGGAGAAAAGATCACTCTGCTTCCTGTTGTGGGTCTGTGAGCTTGACCCGGGTAGTACAGGATGAGAAAAGGGAGGATTGTTGGCAGATACAAGATCTCTTTTATTAGGGTCTAACTTGACAGGGAAATTCCTGTCGGTCAGCCATGCAGTCTCTGTCCACATCTCCATTCACCTTCTGGCCTCTTGACCAGAGCCACAGACTCTCCATTCTTAGTTCCTCATTCCTTCTTAAGTTCCAAGACCCATGTTGTCGTCTTGGGTCAAGCATATGCTCTCATTTTTCCGTTCCTTCCCTTCCCCAGTCCGGGGTGCACAGTGGAGGTGGCCCAGGGCTTCCCTGAGGATGGGATTCCCCAGCGTGTTGAGGGACCGGGGGTCTCCCCAGACCTCTCGTGGTGCAAGGTACAAGGAGTCCCGTGTACTTCTGAGCAGCTTCACCCTAGGAGGGCCTCTTCATGCTCCAGATGCAGGGTCGAACGTGGCCCTGTCCTACGGCATCTGTCCTTTCTGACTCTAAACAGGGCACCCTCTGAGGCCTAGCCCGGGCCCTGCTGCTGTCAGCCCGTGAGCGGGGGGGTGTCTTGCCGTTGAAATCGGCCACCAGATTGAGCTGCCAGCGCATCACAAGGTGAAACGGCAAACAGCGCAAATCGAGTCCTTTTCCAGGCTGGTTTGCGTTCCTTTCCCCCTGGTCCTGTCTGCCCTGGGCCTGACCACTGATCTCCCTCCCTCCCAGACACAACACAATGGCCATCGGCATCGCAGTGGACATTCTGGGCTGCACGGGCACTCTGGAGGACCGAGCAGCCACCCTCAATAGGATCATCCAGGTGGCGGTGGAACTGAAAGACTCCATGGGGGACCTCTATTCTTTCTCGGCCATCATGAAAGCCCTGGAAATGCCGCAGGTAAATCGCCCCTGGATCGGTGCACGCTGCGCGCCTGTGTGGCCTTAAGAGTTCTGAAAGGGGGTCTGCAAGCCCAGGCTTAGCAAACCACCCATGCTTTTAGTCGATCTCGAAAGGTAGACTAAATCTTAGTGAAAGCAGCTTTGGTTAGGGGGCAACCCAAAGCAGTGTCCTGAGTGTTTCGGCTCTGTTTTTTTAAAAACTGGATCGTTGTCGACAGTGCACACTTTCTCTTTGGTGTTTTAAGAAAAGCCATCATCAAGAACGATTGGTTTTCCTTAAGAGCCAATTAGCAGATATGTCTGGCTAATGTGTGTCATAAAAGAGACTGTTCCATCTGCGTCACCAGACATTTGGGGAGCTTATCTCTGAGGATACCCAGAGTGGTTTGTCTCAAAATTATGTTCCTCGGGTCACCTAAAACAGACTTCTGTTAAAAAATTCAGATTTCTGGCCCATCTGCCATTTAACCCCCTAATTAGAGTTTCTGAAGTCGGGCACTTTGAATTTATCTGCTTGGATGGGCTGTTTTTAGGATGAGTGTCAAACCTGAAAGCCTGTATTTAAAATCAAGTGGACGGACCTTATAGAGGAAAGTCATTCTGTCATCTTGATTGCCCAGAGTCAGTGTTCCCATTTCTGTTCTCCCCCACAAGCCCTAGATGTTTGTAATCTCGCCCTCAGGGTCCTCCGGTCCTATAAACGCAGTCTGCAACCGGTAACACCAGAACCACTGGTCATTTAGCTTGGCTGTTTGCTAACTACAGGCTATCTCTGAAAGCCTGCTGGGAGGCGCTCACTGAAAAGACCCCGCAGTCACATGTCCTGCAAGTCAGAGCATGTTAGGAACCTCATTTCCTGGCATTAAAGCAAGGTCACCTTAAAGACAAGCTGAACAACTTAGGGCCTTCACCAGGAAATTTTGAGGGGAATCAATTCCAACTACAATATCCTAAGAGTTTGAAAACTCCTTAATGTACTGGAATTTTGTAGGATCCATATTTGAAATAAGCAAATCCAGCTGTATTTTCATGATATACTGACTCCTGTAATAACAGGGGTTATAATTTTTCATCCAAGTGTTTTTAATTTGCATCATGCTTATTTCTTCTTATCCCAAACGGCCTCTAATTTTGGAAAGCCGAGGCACCAGGCTAAGCTGCGTGTAGCCCTCCAGCCCAGAGCTTCCTCTGAGAGTAGTGAAGAGGAGGTTTGTGGGATCGTGTGCTTGCCATCCATGACCTCACACTCGGGTTAGGGACTTCTCCCAGCGCACCTTAATGTGCCTGTGCGCGGGGCTCCCTCGCCTCCAGCAGCCTCAGACTCTTCCCTGCTGGGGCATCTCAGCAAGGAGGGCATGCAGTCCTCCAGGGTATCCCCCCCCCCCCCCCCAGTGAGCTAGGGCACTGCCGGGGGAGGGAGGTGGCAGACCCAGGGAAGGCTGAGGGGAATCACATCATTCCTGTGTGTCATCGTCCCCATGTGATCCTCTACTCAACAGGCTCACGTGCCTTCTCTTCTCAGCTCCTAGTATCAAGAAAGAGCACCCAGCAGATGGGCCCAGATGAGAGGCCAGGGCTGCTTTGGGAAAGGCAGGTGCTTCAGGGAGGGGAAGAGAAGGGACAGTGAGAAGAGAGAGGTGCATGGGGTGGCGGTGGGGGAGGATGGCCAGAGGAAGACAAGTCGCCTCCTTTCCGTCCCAGCAGACCTGCTGGCGCCAGTTGCTTCTCCCCTTCCTCTGGGAAGACGCAGCTCTTAGAGGCCAAGGGAATCAGTCTCTTCTCTGTCACTTACCAGCTATAAAACTTGGAGCTTCTGGTTTCTGATCTGTAAAATGAGGCCAAAATACTGCCTCATGGGGCATTGGAGGACTAAATGGAATTCTTCAAATACCCGACAGAGAGTTGACGCTCATTCCCCAAATATTCGTGCCCTTCCTCTTTCTTGTTTCATGTAAAAGAAACTTCAGACACTCGGGCTGGCTGGTTTTATGGGGGAGGTGGAGGTTGTCTGGGGGCGGTCAGAGTCAGTGGCATATGTCGGCATTGACTAAACCGTTCTAAAAGAAAGAATGAAAAGGAGCGAGTAGGGTGGTGTCGTGTGGTCTGGGCAATCTTCTGTGTGTCTCAGACATTATTACGAGGAAATGAAAATGCTAGGAGATGAATTCCTACATGCTTTCATCATTATAATCTCTGTGGACAGTTGGCAGTTCCCATCAACATTTAAAATACGTGTATTCTTTGACCCAGTAGTTCCTTCTGGAAATTTATCCTCCAAATATTTTCACACACATACACATTTGCAAAATCTTCCCAAGGTAATTTCATAATGGAAGAAAATTTGTAAAACTCTTCTCTATGGGAGACTAGGTAAACTTTAGTTTATCCATAAACTGGAACATCATACAGAAGTTTAACAAAATAAGGCTGTTCTTTGCTGTTTTATACGTACTTGAATGATTTCCAGGCAGAAAACTGAAAAATGTGTAAGGTATGATATGCCTTTTATTTTAAAAGTCATATATATGTGTGTATGCACAGATACATGGACACATACAAGAAACTGATGAGGAGTTGGCTCTGGGATGGGCCATTAGAACAATACAGAGCGGAGGGGCGGGGCGGGGATTAGCCTCTCTCTGTACACTGCTTTCAACTGCTGTGACTTGATTTTAAAAAGAGCCTCTTCCAAAATGGTAACACCTTCCTTTCTTCCAGATCACAAGGTTAGAAAAAACGTGGACTGCCCTGAGGCATCAGTACACCCAAACTGCTATCCTCTATGAAAAACAGCTGAAGCCTTTCAGCAAGATCCTGCACGAAGGCCGAGGTGAGCACAGGGTCAGCACAAGTGGGCGTGGTGGCCGCCCCTCGTGTGTTTGTGAGACCGTTAGGTCCAATCTGCTCTGCTTTGATCAAAGCTTTCGCAGGACATTTCTCAGAGTTATCTGTGGGACTGTTGATGAATCATCAGGCTTTCATCAGATGACAGCGCCATTTCTAGAAGAACTACAGTTGCTAAAACAGGACACGGGCTACCAGTCACCTTACTCCGTGCTTACCTTTCTTAATTGAGGTGTAATGTCTGTAACGTTACATTAGTTGTTGGTGGACGATGTAATGAGTCAATATTTGTATATACTACAAAATGATCACAAGCTAATTAACATCCACATCATATACAGTTATAAAATTTTTCTTTCTTGTGATGAGCACTCTCAAGATCCACTCTCTGGGTTACGTTCAAACGTGCAGTGCAGTATTATTAACTGTAGTCACTGCGCTGTACATTACCTCCCCATGACTTACTCACTTTATACCTGGAAATTTGTATCTTTTGACCCTCTCCACCCATTTTGCCCACCCTTGACTCCCAGCCTCAATCAACCACCAATCTGTTCTCTATATCCATGAGCTGAGGGGTTTTTGTTTTTGCGTTTTTTAGATTCCACATACAAGTGAGATCACTTTTTTTTGTGACATATTTCACTTAGCAGAATGCCCTCAAGGTGCATTCATTTTGTCAAACAGCAGGACTTCACTTCTTATTTTTATGGCTGAATAATATCCCATTGCGTGCACGTGCGCGCACGTGTGTGTGTGTATAGTTATATATTTAAGTATCCCACATTATCCATTCCTCCATTGGTGGACACTTTGGTTGTTTCCATATCTTGGTTATTGTAAATAATGCAGTGAATGTGGGGTGCAGATATTTTTTTGAGTATTTTTGTTTTCTTCAGGTAAATAGCCAGAAGTGGAACTGTTGGATAATATGATAGTTCCATTTTTAATTTTTTGAAGAATCTCCATACTGTTTTCTATAGTGGCTGTACTAATATACATGCCTGCCTACAGTGCCCAGGAGTTCTCTTTTCCCCACATCCTTGCCAACATTTCCTAGTTCTTGGCTTTTTGCTATAGCCATTCTAATAGGTGTGAGGTGATAGCTCATTGTGGTTTTGATTTGCATTTCCCTCATGTTGAGAAACTTTCCATGTACCTGTTAACTATCTGCATCTCCTCTGGCAAGATGTCTATTCAGATCGTCTGCCTTTTTCATTGCGGGTTTTTTTTTTTTTTCTGTTGACTTATGTGAGTTTTTTTATATATTTTGGATGTTAACTCCTTATCAAGTAGATGATTTGCAAATATTTTCTCCCATTGAGTAGTTTGCCTTTACATTTTGTTGATGGTTTTCTTTGTTGTGCAGAAGCTTTTTCGTTGGTTGTAGTCCTACTTACTGATTTTTGCCTTTGCTGTCTTTGCTTTTGGTGTCAGAAAAAAAAATCATCACCAAAACAAATGTCAGGGAGCTTCTGCCTATGTTTTCTTCTAAGAGTTCTGTGGTTTCAGGTCTCACATTCAAGTGTTGAATCCATTTTGAGTTGATATTGGTGTGGTGTAAGGTAGTGCTCCATTTTCTTTATTTTACATGTGGCTCTCCAGTTTTCCCAGCACCTTTTATTGAAGAGACTGTCCTTTCTCCACTATATGTTCTTGGATCCTTTGTCATAAATAAATTGGCCATAGATGCATTTATTTCTGGGCTCTCAATTCTGTTTCATTGATGTAGATGTCTATTTTTATGCTAATACATACTGTTTTGATTACTATAGCTTTAGAATCTAGTTTGAAACCAAGGAGCATGATGCCTCTGGCTTTGTTCTTTCTCAAAACTCCTTTGGCTATTCGGGGTCTTCTGTGGTTCCCCCATATTTTAGGATTGTTTGTTCTATTTCTGTGAAAAATGCCATTGGAATTTTATAAGGATTGCATTGAATCTGTAGATTGCTTTAGGTAATATGGACATTTTAACAATATTAACTCTTCCAAACCACAAATACAGAATATCTTTCCATTTGTTTGTGTCTTCTTCAATTTCTTTCATCAGTGTCATATAGTTTTCAGTATATAGGTCTTTCAGCTCCTTGGTTAAATTTATTTCTAGGTATTTTATTCTTTTTCATTTGACTGTAAATGGGATTTTTTAATTTCTCCTGATAGTTCGTTGTTAGTGTATAGACATGCAGCAGACTTTTGTATATTTTGTATTGTGCAACTTGACTGAATTTGTGTATTAGTTCTAACAGTTTTTGGTTTCTATATATAATATGTCACCTACAAATAGTGACAGTTTTACTTCTTTCCAATTTGGATGCCTTTTATTTTTTTCTTGCCCACTTGCTCTGTCTAGGACATCCAATATTATGTTGAATAAAAGTGGTGAGAGTGGGCATCCTTGCCTTGACCCTGATCCTAGAAAAAGAGCTTTCAGCTTTTCAATCTTGAGTATTAGCTGTGGGTTTGTCAGATAGGACCTTTATTATGTTATGATATGAGGTCTGTTCCTTCTATACCTACTTTGTTGAGAGTTATCAAAAATGGATGTTGAATTTTGTCAAATCCTTTTTCTGCATCTACTAAGTTGATCATATGATTTTTTTTTATTTGATTTTATTTGAGAGAACACATGAGCAGTGGGGAGGGGGAGAGGGAGAAACAGACGCCTCACTGAGCATGGAGCCTGATGCAGGACTCGATCCCAGGACCCCTGGATCATGACCTGAGCCAAAGGCAGACGCTTAACAGACTGAGCCACCCAGGCGTCCCTGTATTCTGTTGCTTTTGGATGGAATACTCTGTAGTATATATTTGTGAAGTCCATCTGGTCTAACATGTTGTTACGGCCAGTATTTCCATACTGATTTTCTGTCTGGATGATCTATCCAGTAAGTGGAGTATTAAAGTCTTCTAATATTGGAGCGCCTGGGTGGCTTAGTCGTTAAGCGTCTGCCTTCGGCTCAGGTCATGATCCCAGGGTTCTGGGATCGAGCCCCACATCAGGTTCCTTGCTCAGCAGGGAACCTGCTTCTCCCTCTCCCTCTGCCCCTGCTTGCGTCCCGTCTCTCGCTGTCTCTCTGTCAAATAAATTTTTTTAAAAATCTTTAAAAAAATAGTCTTCTATTATTATTGTGGTGTTGTCTGTTTCTTCCTTTAGGTCTGTTACTATTTGCTTTATATATTTAGGTGCTTCTATGTTGGGTAGATAAATATTTACAAATGTTATATTCTCTTGTTGGATTGACCTCTTTATGTAATGCTCTTTTTTTGTTTCTTATTACAGTCTTTGTTTTAAAGTCTATTTTGTTTGATAAAGTATAGCTACTCAAGCTTTCTTGTGATTTCCACTAGCATGATTATCTTTTTCCATCTCTTCACTTTGAGTGTGTGTGTGTTCTTGTATCTGAAGTTAGTCTCTTGTAGGAAGCATAAAGATGGGTCTTTTTTTATCCATTCAGTCACTGTATGTCTTGATTGGAAAATTTAGTCCATTTACATTTAATTGCTGATAGGTATGTACTTCTTGCCATTTTGTTCATTGTTTTCTGGCTATTTTATCCTTCCTCTCTGCTCATTTCTTCCCTTGTTCTCTTCCTTTGTAGCTTGATGATTTTCTTTAGTGCTATGCATGGATTCCTTTCTCTTTATCTTTTGTGTATCTACTGTAGGCTTTTGCTTTGTGGTTACCATGAGGCTTACATATAACAACTTATAACAGTCTATTATTGAAGATACCAAGTTAAGTTTGAATGCATTCTAAATCTGTACATTTTTACTCCCCACAACATTTTGTTTCCGATGCCACATTTTACATCTTTTTATCTGTTTCCTAATTATTGTGGTTAGGTTTACCACTTTTGTCTTTTAACCTTCATACTAGCATTATAAGTAATTAATCTACTTTTACTGTCTATTTACTTTTACCAGTGAAATTTGTATTTTTACATTTTGTTACTAATTAACGCCCTTTCTTTCCAGCTTACAGAAGTCCCTTTAACATTTCTTATTCAGCCAGTTTAGTAGTAATGTACCCCTTTATCTTTTATTTGTTGAGAAAACTCTTTATTTCTCCTCCAATTCTGAATGATAGTGTTGCCAGATAGAGTGTTCTTGGTTGGAATCTTTTTTCCTTTAGCATTTTGAATATATTGTGCCAGTCCCTTCTGTCCTCTAGAGTTTCTGCTGAAAAATCTGCTGGTAGAGTCTTATGGTGGTTCCCCTGTACATTACAGGTTGTTTTGTCTTGTTGCTTTTAAGATTTTTTCCTTTTCTTTAACTTTTGACATTTTAATTATAACGTGTCTTGGTTGGTGTGGATCTTATTTGTAACTCTCTGGGCTTTCCTGGATCCGGGTCTATTCCTTAGGGAGGTTTTCAGTCTCTTTTCTTTTTTCTTCTAGGACCCCTATAATGCAAATGTTAGTTTAAGGGACTTATGGAACATCATTAAGAAGACTATCTTCACTTTTTTCATTCTTTTTTGCTGCTCTGATTGTATGAGTTCCATTATCTTGTCTTTGAGTTCATTAATCCTTTCTTCTGCTTCATCTAGTCTATTGGAACTCTACTATAATTTTCAGTTCAGTTGTTTTCTTCAGCTCTGTGACTTCTATTGGGTACTCTTATATTTTCTATCTCTTGAAGTTCTCGCTGTGTTTATCCTTTTCCCAAATTCAGTGAGCATCTTTATGACCATTATTTTGAACTCTTTATCAAGTAATTACCTATCGCCATTTCATTAAGGATTTTTCTGAGGTTTTCTCTTATTCTTTCATTTGGAACATATTCCTGTTTCTTCATTTTGCTTGACTCTTTGTGTTGGTTTCTGTGCATAAGATAAAACAGCCACCTCTCCCAGGCTTGAAGAAGTGGCCTCACGTAGGAAATGAACCTTATTCAACTCTGATCTAGTTCTTGGTTGTCTCCCTAACCTTTGTGATTGTCTAAGCAGTCTTGTATTTTTAATGGCTCCCAGTAGTTGAGGATATGCCAAGACCTGTCAGTGTCCCAAAGGGGAGGGTCTCAGCCAGCACCTAGATTCAGGCCAGTTGGAAGCCAGACCCTCAGGCATTAGTTTTTTTAATTATGAAAATATATATAGTCCTGTGGGAATGCAAGCATAAGCCCCACTGGCCACCAGAGCAGGGTGATGTGGAGGTGTCCCATGGATGGCAGTTGCAAAAAAAAAGCTTCAAACAAGTGTATTAGCTAGCTCCCTTCTAGGCAGTATCAGGAAGCAGTAGCAAGGCAGAGGGAGAGTGCAAAGATGGTGCCCACCAGCCTATATTACCTGAAAGCATCTCTGTAGGCCCCCAGTTGTGTGCCAAAAGTGAAGGCTGCCTCTCGGGCTAAAGCTACAGGACAAGCAAATAGGCCTTCTTCACAGAAAGACTGGGGTGTGTTTCAGTCTGCTGTCTTTGCAGCGCCCTGGGGGTGCCTGCCTAGAACTCTGTTTCCAACTGTTACAGTTCTGTGAGACACAGGATCACAGTTCCCCTAGCCTTCACAGCCAGGTGATCAAGAGTGTATCATGGGGAGCACCCGCAAAAACAGGCACCAAATGTGTGTAAAAGCTTCCCTCTGAAGATACTGGCACTGTGCAGTTTGGCAGAGGGAGAGCATGAAGGTGGTGCCTGCCAGCCAGCAGGCCCCTAGATGTGTGCTAAATTAGCCTGCACCTCAGACCAACACTTCAAGATTAGCAAATGAGCTCCTCTCAATCTGCTGCCTCCGTGCTGAGCCCTGGTGCAAGTGGGTGCACAAGCCCTTTAAGAGGCTTTCTTAGTTTGTTACAGCCTGTGGGTCTCATGGATGTGACAGGGTTGATTTTCAAAGCTAGATGTTTTAGGGGCTCATCTCTTAGGTGCAGGTTTTAAAGTTGGGGTGTCTCATGTGGGGTTCAAACCCTTCACTCCTCAGGGAGAAAGCTCCAAGTTTTGAGTTCTCTCCCAATAGTGCCAGGATTGAGGTTTATGGCGAGATTGGGTCCGGGCCTCTCCTACCTGCTTCGATGTGGGCCTTGTTTACCCACCGTGTAGGAGTTGCTCAGTTTTTAGGGTTTTTTCAGAGGAAGTTCCATATTTAGCTGCAGATTCAGTGTGTCCACTGGGGGTGGGGAGCACAGGCTCTTCCTATGTCACATCTTGAATTGGAACTCTCTCTGCTTAACTTTGAAAAAAAAAAATACAACATGGAAAACTTTACCCCGTTTTTCAGAGTCTACGTGTGTTCCCCCCAACAAAATATCAGTCCCACTATTGATGCCTCTTGTGACCTTGATGGAGCGCCAGGCTGTCACTTTTGAAGGAACTGACATGTGGGAAAAAAATGACGAAAGCTGTGAGATTATGCTGAACCACTTGGCCACAGCCCGGCTCATGGCAGAAACTGCAGACAGCTACCGGATGAATGCTGAGAGGATCCTGGAAGGTAAGAGCTGTTTTCTGTAAGCTGCTCTCTACTCTGCATAATAATTAGAATGAAGGAACAAAGAGCATGGATGCTCTCAGTTAGGAAAAGACAAAGTAGGAAAGATTAAGGCATGGAATTTCCTTTCTTATGATTGATCATTATTTCCTCTTGTCCCTAAGTGACTTGAGAATCCTGTTTCTCCTTTTCCATGTGTCTGTTGTGTCAGTGGCATAGAATAAACTGAGAGGGTCAGGAAGGAATCGGTCAGCTTGTCTACCATGAGTACTTCTGATTGGAGCTATGTGAAGGTGGGCTAACATAAGGAGTTAGAGTTCTATGTGCATTCATTTATCTGCATTCCTGTTTCTTCCCACATTGGGAGGTGAGCTCCCCTGCTTTTAGCAACAGAGGGTCCAGTACAGGCAAAGGCACTGCTGAGAGAGCTGGGAGAAAAGTATAAACCACCAGTACTCAGGTTTGGATCAGTGTAAAGTGTGTCTTAAGGAATGACCAACTAGGCTGAAGGAGGTGGATATAGGTGGGAAGGCCTTCCATGTAGGACTCCGGCTGAGGAAGAGCCTGTGAAGGGTTTTAAACATGGGATAGTGTCATGACATGGTCAGATTGATGTTTTAAATATGGCATCTGTTTGTGGGAGGGCTGAAGGCTTGCAGGCAAAAAGATCATTTAGGAAGCAAGATAAGGAGGAGGGCTTTACCCAAGGTGGTATCAGGAATGATTATTTTCTCTTCTTCACTGTATTTTTAAAATTCTTCAAGGGCCCAAAGTTTCACCCACAAGGTTAAGGAAGAACTACATAGGGCAGGAGAGGCCTATTTATTTCATCCTAAAACAAAGTTGTTGCTCCAGAACCAGAATTTGGGACTGAACAGTTTACACTCTATCTGCTGTAGGTTTAAGAACTACATACCTCTTTCAATTTTTATCTCAGAAAGTTCTCTAGGGTTGGCAGTGTAGGATTCAGAAAATAAACCACCTAATTTCAATTCCCCAGATATTAGAGTGTCTGCTTATACAAAGCTAATAACTATTTTAGTTAGATGTTGCCTAAGCCAATATATTAGGATGGGTTTTGAGAAAAGGGCTTTAAGCTGCTTTACAGCAAATCACTTTAAAGGTATCTAATGGCATTTCTCAGTTAATCCTGCTACAGGTTTATGTAGCAAGTTTCCATTGCTGGAAGTAACTATGAACCCAGTAAAGGTAGAGATTTTCACACCAACATATACCCAGCCCAAGGCAGGGACTCAAAGCATATTAATTGAATGATTGGAAGACATTGTCGAGCCTCTGATGTGTTATCTGTCAAAGATATTCTGGCATCACAGGGAAAGATGGAGTGGAGGGCTTCTATTATTTTCTCACAAAGATCCTATAAATCTAGATGGTAGAAATAGATTTAAGGACAGAGCAGATTAATCCAGCAGGAACCAAGGATGAGAACCACGTGCCTGTATGACTCTTTGTCTGGAGTTTTCTACCTCTCAAATAGTTGACTGAATATCCTTGGCTTTAGGTAGACAGATCTTCTCTTACGTTACAGAAAAGAGTCACGAAACAGATCACACATATATGGCTGTCCATATATTTTTGAGAATGGTGCCAATGTAATTCATTGGATATAGTCTTTCAACAAATGGTGTTGGAATTATTGGATATGCTAGGCAAAAGAAAAAATGAATCCTGGGCGCCTAGGTGGCTCAGTCGTTTAAGTGTCTGCCTTCAGCTCAGGTCATGATTTCAGTGTCCTGGGATCGAGTCCACATCGGGCTCTCTGCTCAGTGGGGAGTCGGCTTCACCCTCTCTCTCTCCAAAAAAAAAAAAATCTTAAAAAAAAAAAAAGTGAATCCTGATCCTTACCTCATACCATACACACTAATCAATCCAAAATGGATCATAGGTCCAAATGTAAGAGCTAAAGTGTAAAGCTCCTATAAGATAACATAGGGGAAATTCATTGCCCTTGGATTAGCAAAGCTGTTTTAGGACACAAAAAGCAGGAACCATTAAGAAAAATTTTTGATAAAATTATGAATTTTGCTCTTCAAAAGACACCATTAAGAAAGTAAAAAGGCAAACCACAGACTAGAAGAAAACATCTGCTAAACATTTATCTGATAGAGGATTTATATCTAGACTATGTAAAGAACTCTTACAACTCAATGAGAAGACAAACAAGATTTGAAGAGACAATATACCAGAGAAGATCTGCCAGTGACAAATAACTATATGGAAAGACATTTAAAGCATTAGTCATTAGGGAAATATAAATTTAAACCACAATGAGACAATACCACATACTGTCTAAAAGAATGATAATTTTGGGGCACCTGGGGGCTCAGTTGTTAAGCGTCTGACTCTTCATTTCAGCTGAGGTCTGTTCAGGCCCCATGTTGGGCTCCACACTGGACGTGGAGCCTACTTAAAAAAAAAAGACAATAAATACTAAGATTTGGCAACTTATAGAGAAACTGGAGCTGGTGAGAATATAAAATGGTACAGCCATTTTGGAAGAGTTTGACAGTTTCTTTAAAATAAACATACCTACCGTATGACCCAGTAATTCCTCTCCTAGAGAAATGAGAACACATGTCCACACACACACTTACATACAGATGTTTACAACATCATTCATAACAGCCAGAAACTAAAAACAATCCCAATGTCCATCAGTTGGTGAATGGATAAACAAAATGTGGAATGTCCGTATAACCAAATGCTACTCAGCAATAAAAAGGAATGAATTGATAACTTGTGACAATATGGAATAGTCTCAAAAACATGGTGCTAGATAAAAGAAACCAAAAAGTCCACATTGTATGATTCCATTTATATCAAGTTTCTAGAAAAGGCAAAACAAACAATAGCAACACAAAGCAAAGACGTACCAGGTAACTTTCTAGGGTGATGGAAATGTTCTAACACTGGTGGTGGTGATGTATAACTTGTATAGGCTTACTATTATATATCAAACTGCAGCTACAATAGGTGAATCATGACACAAATTAATTATACATCAATAAAGCTTTAAAAACAAAACAAGGTATTTTGAACACTCCTTCCCACAGTGGCTTGTGCACACAAATTTTATTCTATTATGTTTCAGTGAGTACTTGGTATTCCTTCTCCAAAGGTGCTCAGGTCCTTGAGGACTGGGCTCTGCCCTTTTCTTATATAAAGCAGAGCCTATAGTTTTCTTTGGGGGCATTTTGAAGTTCATTTTGATCCGACTTTAAGCAAGTAGGTTTTTAGTCTATTGCTGACATTACGTTTGAAAACTGAAGTAACTGTTCTTTTTTTATTAGGTTTTCAACCAGATGAAGAAATGAGTGAAATCTTCAAGACTGAATTTCAAATGCGATTGCTATGGGGCAGCAAAGGTGCACAAGTGAATCAGACAGAGAGATATGAGAAATTCAGCCAGATTTTAACTGCCCTCTCACGTAAACTGGAACCTCCTCCTGTAAAGCAGGCAGAGCTTTGATAACTCTCCAGAGAACCTTAGGGTATTATTTGAAACTTCTCCAGTTTCCTCTGTGGGAAGGCTTATCATTTGATAAAGTAATAATGTGCAAATCTGACAGTATACAAGCTTTTAGTATCCACAGGATATTAAACATGTAAATTACACAGAACACACTTATTTATGAATTGTTTAAAATTACTACTGATTTTAAAATGATAATTTATTATGAAGGTAACTATTGCTAATGTTGATCAACAAATTTAAGAGAAGACCTAGCTATGTTGGCTGGTTGCTTTCTTTTTCTGAGGTATTTGACCATTTTAGTTTAAATTCCTTGTCAGATAAGTGTAAATAGAAAAGAGTTTAAAAGCATGAAACATTATGGAAGGTATCAGTTGTATGATATTCTTTAAATATGAAAAATGTAAACAGTCATATGAAAATATATCTTTTTGTGAAATAATTGTATCTGGTCTCTTTAATATTAAATAACTCATAGTACAATAATTAATTACACCTCCTACCTCCCTGGGGTATCCTCTTCCCTAGATACTATATCCTAATAATAAACCAAAATTAATGAGAATGATATGGAAAATTTAATATTTGTGGCTTGGGAGACAGTGAATAGTGATACAAGGTAGACCTGGCTCTGGAAGACCTAGGTTCAAAGTGAAGCTGTGGTACTTGCTAGCAGTTGGGCTTTGGTCAAGTTAAGCTCATCTGTGTGCAGTACAGCACCCGGTATAAAGTGAGTACCCAGATGCTAGTATACTTCAGGACATCACTTCATGCATTCGAAAGTAACCGACTGCTGAGCTTCCAGTTCAAGATAGCAACATAGGAAAACCCTGAACTCACTTCTTCCACAGATACACCAAATCTGTTCCTATTTATAAAGCACATCCTCCTAAAGAAGTGAGGGCTGACTGAATAGCTTCTACAGCAAAAGATAGACCACACAGAGAACAGCAAGAGGGATGGCGACACAGTAACAAAGGAAACCCCTACTCCCAAAGCTGCAAACTGCAGTGGGGAGGGATGGTAATGAAGGACCACGAGCAGATTTGTTTGCCCTGGGGTATAGAAAAGCCATGGTTTAAAAGGGCAACTAGAACCCTGCCAAATAGTGGGGGAGCTGCTGGAACTCGAGAGGGTCAGAGGGACTGGTGAGCACCACAGTTTGTTTCCCCTTCACCTTGACAGTGCAGATAGAGCATGGTCCTGGCACCAGAGCCCCTAGCCCACACCAGCCCCAAATGCCTGGGGTGCAGATAAAAGCCATAGTTTATAAAGAGCAACTAGAATATAAAAGCTCCAGCCCTGGAACTCCACCAAAAGGCAAGAGAGCCGCTGCAATGCTCTCTGGTCAGAGGAGCTGGTGACACTGTTTACATTCTCCCTCCACCTTTATAGCGTGGAAGGGAGCAGCCTACTGCTTCCACAAGCCCCTGCCCCTAGCCCACACCAGCCCAAGCCATCCCACCAGAGTGGCCTCAGTGTGCCACATACTGGACACCCCTGGTTAGCACCCCTATGGCTCCAGCTGTCTCAGCAAGGTGAGACATTCCAGGCCCATGCCACTTTGGCTCCAAATGACTCGCTAGGGCAGAATGCTCCAGGACCTCCTGGCTCATGCCCTTTATGGCTCAGGGTGCCCCCTGTGTGAAATGACTTGGGACATTAGACTGCACCCCACTTGGGATCAGTCACCCCACCAGGGCGCCTCCTGTGCAGAACACCCTGGGACACCCAAGCTTACACCCACTTTAGTTTCAGCTGCCCTGCCAGGGCACCCTCTGCAGAGTGCCCTGGAACCCAAGGCTTGCACTAATTTCAGCTTCAGCTATCCTGCCAGGTGCCCTCTACACAGAAAATCCTGAGACCACCCTGGCCCACACCCACTTCAGCTCTGGCCATGGCACCAGGGCAGCCCTAGCAGAGAGTGCTCAGGACCGCTAGCCTGTGCCAGCCACAGCTCCAGCCAACCAAAATCACCAGGCACACAACAGTTTACACAGGCGACAACAATACACAAGACCATTCCTTCAAACTTAGGAGAAATAGCTGTTCCATCTAATTCATAGAAACAAAATAGAAACTCAACCAAAATGAGAGGAATATATTCCAAACAAAAGAACAAGACAAAACCTTGGAAAAAGAACTAATGAAACAGAGATAAGCAATATGCCTGATAGAGTTCAAAGTAATGGCTGTAAAAATGCTCACTGGACTGGATAGAAAGTGGATGAATTCAGTGAGGATTTTAACAAAGAGACATATAAAAAAGAACCAGAGTTAAAGAATACAATAACTGAAATGAAAAATACACTAGAGGGAATCAACAAGAGATTAGAGAATGCAGCAGAATGGATCAGCAATCTGGAAGGCAGGTAGTGAAAAGCACCTAAGCTGAACAGTAAAAAAAAAAAAAGAAAGAAAGAAAAGAAAAGAAAATCAGGATAGGTTAAGGGATCTCTTGACAACATGAGGTAAACAAGTATTCTAAGGGTCCCAGAGGAGAAGAGAGAGAGAGAAAGGGGAAGAACACTTAAAATAACTGAAAACCTCTCTAACCTGGGGAAGGAAATACACATCCAAGTCCAGGAAGCAAAGAAAGTTCTAAAGATAGACCCAAGAAGGTCCACATCATGACACATAATAATTAACATGTCAAAGATTAAAGATAGATAATTCTACAAGCAGTGAGAAGCAACTAGTAACATACAAGGGAAACCCCATAAGCCCATCAGTTGACGTCTCATCAGAAACTTTGCAAGCCAGAAAGGAGTGGCAGGATACATTCAAAGTGCTGAAGGGAAAAAAGCTACAACCAGGAATACTCTGCACAGCAAGGTTATCATTCAGAATTAAAGGACGAAGAGTTTCCCAGACAAACAAAAGTTAAAGGAGTTCACCACCACTAAACCAGCCTTACAAGAAATGTTAAAGGGACTTCTTTAAGTGGTAAAGAAAAGGCAGTAATGAGAAGAAAATTATGAAAAGAAAAAAATGACACGAGTAAAAGCAAACATACAGAGAAGGTAGTAATCACTTATAAAGCTAGTATGAAGGTTAAAGACAAAAGTAGTAAAACTATATCTAAACAATTAGTTAAGGGGGACTCACAAAATAAAAATATGTAAAATATAACAACATATACATAAAACATGGGGGGGGCAGATGAGTAAAAATGAAGTTCTCTTATAATGTGTTCAAATTTAAGTGACCATAAACTTACATATATGACGGCTATATACTTAGGATGTTACATACAAATCTCATAGAAACCACACACCAAAAACCTATGATACACAAGAAATAAAGTGAAAGAAAGCCAAGAATAACACTAAAGTCATCACAAGAGAGCAAGAGAACTACAAAATCAGAAAACAATGAACAAAATGGCATTAAGTACATACCTATTAATAATTAAATGTAAATGGTCTAAATGCTCCAATAAAAATAATTGACTGTTACCTTTTCCTCTAGCTGGTTAGGTATGAGTTTTCTAGGCTTACTTTCTAGGCTTTTGGCTGCACAAAGGAGATACTTTCTAGTTTATCAGTACCCCTCCATTTTTTTTCTATTGTAGAAAATTTGGAATACAAGATTTTAAAATAAAATAATAAATTTCAATCACTCTGCCACAAAGTACAAACACTTACCAATTTACTTCTTCTTCCTGTCTTCTAAATAATTTGGGTATCATACAGAATATCCAACTTCTCTCAAGTTACAAAAATTTCTCCATGATGTTAAATAGCCTTTGACAAAATACAATTTATTGGTTACATAAGTTACACTATAATTCAAGCACTTTCCTTCCATCTTAAATATGCCTACTAGAACTAAGTATGAGCCTCTCATTATGGTCTATTTATTGTAAGGGAAATATTGGTTTTGAATCCTGAGTCTCTGTATTTCCATTAATGTGACCTAGGATCATGAGGCCCTCTCGCATTCTTTTAAAGGAGCCAGCACAATACTATTTTTTATTTGCTAAAAAAAAAACCCCAAAAAAACAAAAAACAAAAAAACCCAAAAGGACAATTCTACTTCTGGAAATATGGTGGTTTAGGTGCTCTTGGAAAGCCCTTTCATTATAACTAAATCAATAAATGTTAATAAACTTACCTTTTAATGCACTGTTAAACTTGACAGAATGAAAGGGAAATCCCCAAGAAATAATTCTATCCACCCCACCTCACCTACCAAAAGGATCAGCAAATATAAACCCTAAGAGAATTTAAAAACCTGGGTGGCCCCCTAAGGCAAATACTGACATCACCTCAGTGAATGGGAGAAGGTGTCTTAGGTGAGCCAAGCGTGAAATATCTCCATTAAGTAAAGACCCTTAAAGAGTCCCTGTTGTTAGGCGGAAACAAAACAAAACAAAACAAAACAAAACAACCATCTGCCAGCAAAGAGAGGTTACCAAGAAATAGCCCTCTTTTATGCACAGCTACAAGAAAAGAATTGTAATGATAATGGTCTTTAGTGAGGATTTGCAACTATAAGCCTATCCTCAAATAGATCTAGAGTAAAAACCCAAAACCAAATTGATTTACAATGGTCCTAGGTTGCTGGCATCCCTGAGGCCTAGCAGATAAACCTATACTCTCACCAGGAAAGCATCCAGTATTCATACGGATAAAATAAATTTAAAAATGAAAAAAATAATGTTGAAACTAAATATATATTTATATATGAATATAAAATCAAGCAGAAGCAATGCTATCATGAATAAAATGCTGGGGGAGAAAAGATTTAGAACCTCAATACCTTCAGATACTAGAATTATCATATTTTGAATGCAAACATATATGGTTGTGTATAAAGAAAAAATGAACCCAAACAGGAAATGAGTATTTAAAAATGATCACATTTTAAGAGAAACTTAGTAGATCCTTTAGAAAGGTGTAATAAACTAAAAACTCAAAAAACTCAGTGGATGGTAATATTAAACAGAAGATTAGATCTTGGGGCACCTGGGTGGTTCAGTTGGTTAAGGGTCTGACTCTTGATTTCAGCTCAGGTCATGATCTCAGGGTCATGGGATCGAGCCCTGCGTCAGGCTCTGCACTGGGTATGGATCCTGCTTGGGATTCTCTCTCGCGCTCTCCCTTTGCCCCTCCATGTCCCCAACCATGCTCATGCTCTCTCTCCAAACAAAAAACAACAGCAAAAACCCAGATTAGATCCAACTGAAGCTCTAATGAACTCTGAAGACCATGCCCAGAATACACAGAGACAAGGAGAGGAAAAGTAGAAGACAGAGATGAAAAGATTTAAAGGACCAAAACAGAATGACCCAAAGCATCTCATCAGAGCTCCAGAAGGAAAGAAAGTGGGGTGGGGAGGAAGCAATTCATCCAGAAGAAAGGGTGGAGATTTAAGGATTGTTGAGCAGTGAAATGGGTTATCTTTTAGGTATATTGAGACAATAGTGTCTACTGTGTGAA